GGTATGGAATGTCCCTTTGGCCAGTTTGTCTGTGCCCCCTCCCAGCTTCTTGTACACCTCCAGCCTTCTCAGTCGGTAGAGCATGGGAAACTAAAAAGTCCTTGGCTAGTGTAAGCATTACCTAGCAACAACTAAAACATCGGTGCGTTATCAACTTTGTTCTCATCCTAAATCCAAAACACAGCACTGTGCCAGCTACTAGGAAGAAAATTAACTCTATCCCTGCTGAAACCAGGACACATGGTCATACTTTGGTTAATTGTAATTCAGCAACCCTGGGAAATTTAATCTCAGTTGTGTGTGTAAATTTTCAAAAACGCAATCCTTTGTTTCATCTACATGGTTTGAATGGAAATTGACTATAGAAAATGGTTGCTACTTTTAAGAAGAGCAATTACTTTTTGGGACTCTTCCATTGAAGGAAATTAATTCATTGCAATTTGCTTTTTGATCAGTATTGTATGATACAAGATAGCAAGGAGCATTATGCTATTTAATGTCATGGTATCTTTATTTCCCCCAGCAATTATCTCTTTTTCATAGTGTCTGTTTATTCTGTACTAGAGAGTTATAGCAGTGTATTTCTGTGTATGGAACCCAGGTCAACTGCTGTAGACTTTTGTTTAATAACAATGCCGTAATCTGAAAGTTTTGTTAGTTTCTTCTTGGGATCTGTGCACTTGGTAGGGACAGGCCACGGTGATTTCAGGAGCAGGATTATTTAAAGACACATTAAATATTCCTGAGCAGAAGTTATTCCTTGTAAAAAAAATTTATGGCATTTTTGTCTTTATTATGTTTTGCATGTTTCATTAATTCTCTGTGGGTCTTTTTGAAAGGTTTCAGCAGTGCAGATGATCTTCTATAAAATTTGTTGACTAGGTTCTCAAAATGTACAAGTGGGCAAACCTATGTTTATGAGCATGAATACATTTGCACAGGAAATTGGACAAGCATGAATTCATAGCTCTGTTTTTGCTTGTGCATATTATTCTCACTGAATACAACGGCTAATTGGTAGCAGTAGAGCAATGGGATACGATTCAGATCAGCCTGGATTAATTCATGGAATATAGTGGAGAACCTTCTTGAATTCCTGGCAAACTGCCCCAGTTCTGGACACTTTATGGGCAATAATTCTCTACCACTGTCCACATGACAGGTTTACCTGTCTCACAATTCTGGGAAAAGGGATGTGAATCAGTAGGACCTATAGGTCTCCAAGTCTTGGCATTTTCTGATCATGGGCAGTATTTTATGATTTGCAATCTCTAAAAATGTTACCCCTTGAGCTGGAGCAATTTTATTGTAGGATTTCTGTCATCTGAAGCTTGGGGGAGGACAGCTTGGTTAGAGCATTCAAATTCTTAATCATGAAGGCAAGACCTTGACAATTGTGGGAAGACCCTCCATAACTAGAACTTGGCTCATGGCCATAAAAGAGGAGGCCTGGAAGACCTATTTCTGCTCTTTTCCAATTTAGCTGAGCACTAGTGAATACAAGAGGCACGTTTCATGTTGTTAACTTCTTGTTTTAGTGCTTCTGAAATTATCAGGATTCCATTTTCCAAAAGCTTTTCTCCATTTTAATTAGATTGTCTGAAAATCAGATTTTTTTTTTCTTTTTTTCCTAACCAGATCTGAAAATAATTTCACATTGGTTTCAGTTTGTCTGTATGGTAAAAATCTGGTTTAATTCTATTTTTGGCTGCTAATTTCTAATTCAATAGGAATCCTATATATATCTGAAGTAAAGATATTCTTTCTTCTAATACGCACACCTTTATTCAACCATTGGAAAAGCTTAGAAAAAATTTCTGGGAATGAAACTTTTTTCTGTCGTGCTACTTTTCCTTTACATAAATGGAATTTTGGCTAACACTTGGATAGTTTTTTTTGATATGCCGGGTTTTGCTTCAGAACAAATAGCAGCTATTGTTTAAAAAATTAACGGTGTGAAAGAAAAACAAAGGAAAACTTTAAACAGTCCCTGTAGGCAAATGACATGAAAGACTTCTGTAAATAGCACACGTATCTACTAGTGATGAATCAAAACCTTATTGGCCTGAATGTTCTTTTGATTTGTTAACTACCATTGGGCTTCAGTGTACAGCTTTCAACTGTATTTGAAAAATCTTTACCTTGTACTAGTTTTGTGTGCGAGTTAATCATCATCCTCTGTTGTTCGGCTTTTTGCCCCACAGTGACTTAGTGATGTTTAGATTGCTTTGGCTTGAAGACGAGGAATGAAAAATTAAAGGGGCAAAAATAAATGTATAGATATACTTGGTCAGATTGCACCTGTTACTGGGATGAAGACAATTTTTATCTTTATACAGCTGGACTCTAACAAAATATGACAAAGTGTGTTCAATTAAGTGGCACCCTGCAGAGTCCATCTAAGGCTACCAACAATTTATTTCTTTGCCAAAGATACTGGGAAGATTATAATTGCTGTTAGGATGGACTTATTTTAGATACTCTAATCAGATAGTGCTGGTTTGATCTCACTGCAAGAATTTCCGGTTGGTATTACGTTACAGCTGGCACACCTGTCAGGTACACATGCAGAAATAAGTCAGGAACAGCATCAAGATGAGTTGGACAGCAACTTTTGCACTGACAAAGTTTTGTACACTCCCCCTCACCCCCATTTTTCTTCTTTTGCTTGAAAAGAAAAAAAGCAAAAAGCCACAGTTTTTGTCCATAAACTACGTTCCAGTTCCGAAGCTCAGTTTGCTAGATTGTTACAGGCTGGTTGTACCAAAAACCAAAATAAGCCTAAGAATGCATTGCCTACTGAGGATTTTTCTTGGTCTCCCAAACTAGGTATCTTTTTAAATTAAAGCTCTACAGTTTCAATTTGAGGTGTGCCTTTTTTTTGTGATTTTTTGCATTTTTTCTCTGCAAAACATCAGCAATCTAAAAATGTTTTTAGTAATGATAAAATACTAATTTCAATAACAACCTACCTTACTCCAGAAGATTAGGTATATGAACAAATTCTACTTTAGGTTTTTTATTTGGTCTCTTCTGTGTTGTAGATCCTGCAGCAATATACAATGTTGTTGAACCCATTTCTGCAGTTCAGAATGCAGAAAAGCTGCTATCATTTATGTTTATTCATTAGAATTTGGTGGATCCAGACTCTGGAAATCACTCAACAGGAGACAGTATTTGATTTGGCAGCTTGGTGGTTGACCTCTTTCTGTTGCTTATTAATTATTTAGCCTTTTAATTTATCTTGTGTAATAAGTGGTCAACAGTGTACTCTAGAACTTGAAGTCCTGATGTAGCATTTACTATTTCATAATTTATCTTTATTTTCACAGGGATCACACTCTACAGCCAACCATATGGAGGAGCCTTGCTGGATGAGGACAAAATGTGAGCAAACTTTTAAAATATGTAACAGCTGCAATGAGCAGACAATTGAAACCGTTAATTCAATAAGTGCGTATGTTGCGTGCAATAGATGTTGTGACTTGATAGATGCAATTCAGTTCCACTGAGTGAAGCATTTTCTGTAGTCTGATGTTTATATGTCAAGTCTACTGTTTATATCATATGTGGTTGCATTATTTTGTAGAGAAAAATACTGAATTTACACTGACTGCGCGTTACAGAGTGTTCAAGTTTCTGAAGGTTAGTCTTCTGTGGAGGGGGAAATATTTGCAAAAGCTTCACTTTACTGTTCAGACTTTAAACACACGCTGTGTTCTATAACTCATGTATAGTTTTGTAACTTAACACATCATCTTGCTCTTGTTCTCTAATTAGATGTTGACAGTGTACAAACATGGTGTTTACAAACAGGATTGAGGTCCTAATGTTTAGTGTTGTTTTGGTAAGAAGTTGGCCTTGAAAATGTTTGGGTTTGGTGAGGTTTTTTCCCCCATTGTGTTTTCATTATGCCATTTTGTTTTGTACCCTAGAATGGAGAATGTTCGTCAGTGTGGAGTAGCACTGTGTATCATGCTGGGTTTCTCTATCCTTACTGCATCCATTGGAAGTGCTGTAGTGAAAGACAGAGTATCTGGCACAAAACGTTTGCAGCACATCACAGGCCTGGGTTACAAAACTTACTGGCTTGCTAACTTCTGCTATGATATGGTATGTATCATGTGGGGCAGCATGTGTTCAGGTGTAAATTTTTAACTAGTTTGTCATAAATGAGCAAAAGGAGATATGGTCACAAGACAGGTGAATAAGATTTGAACTGTGCAGAGCAACAGCTCTTGGCTATCATGTTAACAAGCATTGGGACACCATTCTTACTTTAATACTGTCAGATAAAATTATTTAAGGCAGGGATTGTGTTCTTCATTTTCCAAAGTTGAATTGTAAGGTAAAGCATATGTCAGGTTTAGGTACCTACACTATTTTACAAATAAAAAGAAGCTGGCTAATCAACCTAGACAGAGAGAATCTTCCACACAGCAGTTCATAGCAGGAGTTTCTGTGCTTTGAGTTGCCACTGACAAAAACCTTCAGATTATTGGAGAAGCCTGAAGATAATAGACAGCTGCTTTAAAGGCATAATTATGTTGTCTGTTGGTAGGTAATATGAGAGATACTCATGACTGGTACCTTTTATTTCTGGAAAGATAGTAGAAAATATTATTTATGAATTCACATGCACAGAATGACGTAGATCAGAAATGGGTGAAGTCTCTGTCCTGAACATTTATTTTTCTCATACAAAGTAATTTCTACTATTGTTAGTATTGCAAATAGTATTGTCTGCATGCAGTTCATTAACAAATCTGAATATCTTCTCTTCTTTTGAAAATATCACAGAAGTTATTATTTTTCCCTAAATCTTACCCTCTTAATCAAATGTAAAGACAGGAATGCCACTCTAAATGTTACCCTTTTAATCAAATGTAAAGACAGGAATGCCACTGAGACCTGACTTTGGCATGTCGGATTTAGGCCAACATAGTTAAATGAAATAGGAATTTGTTGTGGTTTAACCTCAGCTGGTAACTAAGCACCACGCAGCCGCTCGCTCACTCCCCCCCAGTGGGATGGGGGAGAGAATCGGAAGGGTAAAAGTGAGAAAACTCGTGGGTTGAGATAAAGACAGTTTAATAGCTAAAGCAAAAGGCACGCACACAAGCAAAGCAAAACAAGGAATTCATTCACTACTTCCCATTGGCAGGCAGGTGTTCAGCCATCCCCAGGAAAGCAGGGCTCCATCACGTGTATCCCTTGGGCCAGTTGGGGTCAGCTGTCCTGGCTGTGCCCCCTCCCGGCTTCTTGTGCACCTCCAGCCTTCTCAGTCGGTAGAGCATGGGAAGCTGAAAAGTCCTTGACTAGTGTAAACACTGCTCAGCAACAACTAAAACATCAGTGTGTTATCAACATTGTTCTCACCCTAAATCCAAACCACAGCACTCTACCAGCTACTAGGAAGGAAATTAACTCTATCCCTGCCGAAACCAGGACAGAATTTTTGCTTACCTTCTTCAAGAGTGAGAAGTTGATTTCTGTTTAGGCCAATAAGCAAAGACGGTGAAATAGAATTAACTTTCTGAAGTCACTGCTAGTCCCCAGTTGCTGATTTTTCATCAGCTGTGTAATGTATCTCGTTTGGATTTCATTTAAGCGTGAATTCCACAAACTATCTTCAAATATCTTTTTCAAAGGTGACTCTTTAAAAACTAAAATTAAAAATTGGTCTGTTATATATGTGGGTATATACATCTCTGTGTGCGTGTGTGTGTGTAAATATATAAGGCATACACATATGTCCCTTACTGAAAGGCTTTTTCATAATTCACTTGTGATGAGGCTTGCTACAGTATTAGTTGAGTGTTTGGCAGGAATTTGAGATTAGGTCATCTACTTCTGGGAAAGGGATTGAATTACTGTTTTTAAAGAAGTAGGGTGCTGTGCGTTGATAGTTCACTTCTCAAAGAAGGTGTTTTGGATTGGGAGATTGATTTCAGAGGCAATAGTGAACACTTGGAGTCACGTGGATTATTCAAAAGTAAAAGATTCCTGGCCCCACATGAATTGACATTGTGTAAATTGAGCCCCACATAAACTTTCTGCACCTTGCTTAACACACTGGGTCATGGAAGGAAGAGCTGGGATCTAGCATAGGCAACAGGAACATGAACTAGCCTGGTCAGGAACAGAGATTTTTGGAACACCCTCTGTTCTCATTCAGACTATTCTAAATCTGAAACATTAGAGCTTCACCCGTCCATGCTTGAAATCAGGATTTTCACACTTGAGCAAGCTTGAAGTAAGAGCCCATTTCTCCAAACGTTATTTACTTGGCCAGTCAATCTTTGTATTCCTTTTTCTGTTGTGTCAGATAAGAGGGCTTGGTTAAAAACTCAGTCCTTCATCATTCAGTTTCTCCTTGTGCAGCAAAGTCAACACATTATTTTCTGCCAATCCCTTCCTTTCAAAATGTTCTCACAAATTCAGCACAGTACTGCATGATCAATCATGATCTGGGAAAGAACAGACACTGCTTTAAATGCTAATTGTGCTGCAGATCATTTAAGGACACTGAATACATGAATATATGAACTGTCAAATTTGAAATCCCTCTACATATTTGAAGTATTACAGGCTGTGTCCTGTATTATTGGTAGCATAATCTTTACTAGACCTGCAGAAGTATTTGATTTATGAAATTGCTGTCATGAGAATCAGGCTGTTCTTACTGTATTTATACATGTGAATGGTATTCTTTACTATGTTCAACAAATCGAAAATATGTAAGTGCTAAGAAAATTTCATGACAAAGAAAGAGAGACGTTTTGTTCAGATTAAGCTTGTGTCACTAGAAGGGCAAAATTAAAGTTATTTTATTTGTGCATGTCCAACTTTTATAACACACCATGCTTTCAGGTAAGATTTCTAATAGAATTTAATGTTTAAAGTTATTTATTTATTTCTATAAAAAAGTCCCAAGTCTGTTGAAACATACTGGGACTCAGATGTTTTGTGACTTCTCTACCATATTTTTTAAACAGCTCCAGGATAACCGAAACCTAAATCTGTGGAGTGGTATGGTATGATATTTGTATATGGCACTGACTAAGGTACACTGTGAACAAGATAAGAACATTACATTTGTCTACATTTCACTCCATCGCCCTTCTCTTAAAAAAATGTCTGTCTTCCCATTGGCAAAGAAGTGATGCCCTCTGGTTTAATTTTGAACAGGTTTGCATTGTACTTCAGTATGGAAGTCCAATTTGAACTGTAAGGTGGTTGTTCTACACCGAATATTTAGCTAGACCTTGATTTGTTGCCTCTATTGCAGTTGCATCTCAGAATCTCAGTTATGTTAGGATAAGGTTAAATATTATATAAGCAGAAATAGAGGCAGTCACTGCCCTAACGAGCTCAGCTTTAATGCACAGAGCAGGCAGACACTGAGAATGGAACTGAGTACAGATTTTCACATCTTGCCATTGCTAGTTACAAGCAGAATCTGTCTCTCTTGAATACTTGGATATGAATCCCCTGTACCAATCACATCCTCCCCCCTTAAGTATTTGGTTACCATTATGTGAAGAGACTAAACAGAGAAACTGCTTTCCCTGTTGCCTAATGGCTGTAACTCTTCTAAATATTATGTCTGTTCCCATTAAAAGTTGTCATTTGCTTCATCAGCACACATGGTCCTTCATTAAAGTCTCTTCTAAAATTGTATCCTTACTATTCTCCTATGACTGAAACACCAATCAGTGAAACTGCTATTTCTGAATCCAAGACTCTGTATTCACAGTATAATTTGATGTTTTGGAGCAATAGTCCCATACGGACTCATTATCTGGAAGAGCTATCTTGTTAAATGGATGTATCGGAAAGGTCAATAGAAATGGAATTAAGGGGAATATTCTGTAGTCAGATTTTATTTTGTCAGGCTGTTTCATCTGTATATGTGTAAGAGGGGCAGTTTCACAGCAAGTGTAGACTATGAAATCTCAGAGCTCTTCTGCCTAATTCTTCTGAATTTATAGTGTAATTATGTTGCAAATATGGAAAAATTAATTTGTAGAGCCTTTCTATGCTAATTAGTAAGACCAGTAAAAGATGCTCACCTGCTAAATGCCTTTTTTCTTCTGTTTCTAGCTGGTTTACATGGTTCCAGTCACCCTGTGTGTTGGTGTTATTAGTGCCTTCCAGCTATCAGCCTTCACTTTCCGAAAGAACTTGGCAGCCACTGTTCTCCTGCTGATACTCTTTGGGTATGTGATTGGAAATGCTACTATGGAATTATAGCTTGTAAGAAACAAAACAGAAATCTTTAGACTTGGTTTGCACCTGCTGCTGGATGCATGATTTTCTCTCTTTGTAAATGATTATGATTCAACAAAAGATAGTGAGAAAACAGGCTGAAACACGAGTTTGAAAGTTCCATATGGAAGGTGGAGGGAGATTTGCTCATGCATTTAAAAAAAAAAAAAAAAGAAAAAAAAAAGGACTGGAAATGTTTCAGAAAATACTCAGCCTGTATAACAATCATTTGCTGTTAGAAATTGTATGTTATCTTCCAGAAAATGAGGGAATAGCAACATAGTCAGGTCAGAATTTCAGTGCTTAGCTGTGCAGAATATCATCAAGAAGGTAAGAAGTGGCTGTCTTTTATTACAGTTCTACCCATTTTCTGTAATTCTGTAATTTTACATAGCTCCAGGAATTTATATTTCCAATGAGAACTCTGTCCAATGTGGAGTACTGGGCTGGTTGGAGATTTGTCTCCAAACAGTACTGTGAGAGAGGAAAGTCCTCCCATATCATCCTCTTGCTTAGTTTCACGTGAAAAAACAGTTTAAAAAAGTTAAAATAGCTCATTAAACAGGATTGATTTCTCTATAGAAATAAGGCTGTTGAGCCCTGGGCTCAATCAAACTAATGGTCTGTCTATTCTGTTCCTTTAACTCTTCTTACATGCAGTCCCAGGTGATGTGAGAAATGCTGGAGATGAATAGTTACAGGATAAGCATTCTGAGAAGAAGTTTCTTCCTTATTTCAAGCAATTAATTGTTGCTATCTTTCAAGGGGGAATGCATATCTTATGAAACAGATGTTTAGATAATGAAGTATAACTGGTCCATGAGAGAATCACAGAGAAGGAAAGCAGAAAGGACCTTCTGCAAGATCAGGACATGTTCCATTCCAGGAATAGTCTCAGATAAACACTTAAAAAAAACCCTTACTGTATTTTATCTTGAAACTGTTTTCAAGATCTCATGCCTCCAGCAACTCCTTTTTTGGAAAACTGTTTCGGTATCTCCATAGCTGGATGTAGTCTTTGAAATTCCAGACTAAGTTTATTTGGGGCCATACTTCATAATTCTCCCTCATCAAACATCTTTTGCATGCCCAAACAAGCCAAGTCCTCTCTTGTAAAAAGGCCTTCCCATTCCCTGGATAATTCTATTTATCATTTTTCCCTATAACTCCAATTTGAGCTCATCTTTCCTGAGCATGAGTGGCCAGACTAGTATGTAATATTCTAGAGGTCATGATGCCAGGATCTTTTAAATAACTCAGATGAAACATCCAAAATTCATACTTTTCTCCTTCTCTATAACACTCTCGTCTTCCTCCTCCTTCCTTCTGCTATACTACTGATTGATTCCTTCAAGTTAAAGGCAGAAATTCTTATCAGTCTTAGTGCAAAGGCTTTACACTACTAAATCTCATCCCTGTTTTTTTTTAATTGCCTTTACAACTGTTGAATTCTTCTTGTAATCCCATTGCTGTGACCCTAGCATAAGAATAGCCATCTATAGAGATCTTAGTCAAGCAGCAAATGAACCATACAGTACCTACTTGTATGTCTGCTGAAGTCATGACATGTTTTCCATGGTGTGCTATAGGCTTTGGTCCTGCCCACAGTGTACTACTAAATCCCAGGTGCTAAGAGTTATGCTGGTATTGCTTTAACCAAAATGTTGAGTTAAAGTTTGGGTTTTCCAGAAGAAACAAGCATTGACTGAAAAGCTAGACTGTCTTCTAAAAAGTTTTTTGTTGACTGCAGATGCGGCTTAATCATCTCAGTATAATCCCTCCTGTACTCTTCATCTTTGGCTGACATAACAGATATTATAGTGTTTTTTAAGAAGAAGGTCTATGTATTCAGTGTGTCTTAACATGTATTAAAGACACAATAACTGTCAGTCAGTAAGTTTAACATGTCTCAGGGACACTGATAAATTTCAGAGTTGCCACTCTTCCTACTCTACCCATTCCTCTGCCTAACTACACGGTTAATGTGATGAAGCCTATTGTGGTCCTTTTAACCTTCCCCAGTACTGTGCATGTAATTCTGATTTATCTGCATTCCATAATGCAATTTTTCTTTTAAAATATTATTTTTCTCTTCAGGGTACACTTGTGAGGCATTTCTGACTTAGAATAAAGATAAAAATAGCCCAGTTATATGAAAAAGTTAAGCTATGTGCCAGAAGGGGATGTGCTTGAAAGAATAATCAACAATTTCCTAGTGTGCTACTTTAAAACTGATTTCCTTTAAAAATATAATGATCTCTTAACTAAACTGCATTTTTTCCTCTTTTAGCTGGTAGCAGAAGTGTTTTATAGTGCAACTGCTTAAGCACTTTTGTCCAAAATGCTCTATCTTTGATACTTACAAAGTAACAAATTACAGCTGGAGCTGAAGCTGAAGGAAAAGAAAGAGTTAGGATAGAAATGTAAGCGTGACTGGCAGCTACTTTAAAGGCTGTGTTTGAACATCATACAACTTTAGTATTCCGAAAGTCTTACTCATTTCTTAGCAGCTATAAGCAAACAAATCAAATTTTGCTTTCATTTACAGCAGAATAACAGCACTCTAAATCATGTCTCTTTCCTGAGCTGCTTCCAAGGATGAACTTGTCTTGTATTTACGGTACCGTAATTCAGAGCAAAACTTGGAACAGTGATTTTGGTATGTGCATGAAAGAAAGAAAAGATTGTGTGATTAAGACTGGCAACAGGACACTGAAAAGTATAGTGTGATCTTGAATACTTACAGTCTTCGTCTGACACCCAAACATTAAGTCATTTAACCTTTACCTTCCTGTAAACGGAGGGTAAAATCACTATTACTTCACAGCAGGATTTGAAAGTTTGTTTATTAAGGTAAAGGATTTTGGCATTCTTAGATGAAAAAAGTTCATCTGTAAAGTACACAATGTTGAATTTAAAAGGGACTTTTATGGCTCATAACCTAAACTACTGTTTAATGCAGTGAAGAATGAATTCACAGATTTTTGGCCAGCTAGTTGCTCTTGCATTGAGCTCACTATTAAAAGAATTATATATACGTATATTAATACTCTGTAAGAAGTATTTATATATACAATTATATATATATATACTCCATATATACTTATCATCATGCAATGGTGTATGCTTATACCTATGCTCCTGCAGTCTATATACTATTTGTTTGGTAGATATGTCTTGCACTATGTTGAATGGAAAATGAATTTCCTTTACATGACATTCATGCTCATTAAATTGCCTGGACATTTTTTTAGTCTTGCTAGACATATCTTACTCTTTATAAAAAATATGACCGCTCCATTTTGGGTAGGCGTCATTTGACTTGCCAGAATGGAGGGTGCTTTCCGTCCTGCTATAAAGATTTGCACTGAAAATGATGTAACCATGGACGTGCTGTCTTATCATCATTGCGCTATGAAGTAACTATGCACTCATTTTTGATGGCTACTACTCTACTGATAACCTGGTGTAGGTAATAACAATGCTAACATGATCTCTGGCAAATTTCAGTTCTCAGATATCACTGGCACAAATATTAGTTCCGGTTCAAGGATTAGTGCTTTTTTCTTCTTTTTTTTTCCATTTTTTGTTTTCTTCTTTTTTTTTTGTTTTCTTCTTTTTTCTTCTCTCTCTCTTTGCTCACTCTCTCCTTCCTTTTTTGTTCTTTTTTCTTTCTATGAAAACCTCTAAGAAAAGCTGATTGCTCAGCATCTATGATTTAAGCTTCAAATATTTGGTTTTAATTCTATCTCTGTGTAAGAGTCTGGTTAAGGTGCATGGTTTTGCAATCATTCAGAAATCAGGGTTGTGAGCTTTCTGGAACAGTGAAAGTAAATATATGCAGTTGATATATGCAAAAATGGATCATATCTGTCCATCACATGGCAGTAGCTCTGTGTACATCTATGGAATCATAAGGTAATTTGATAAAGAAAACATAAAGCAAATTTGTCCTTTTTTCTCAGTTAGTCAAAAGAGTTGTTTGCATATCTTAAAAATAAGGAGTAACTATTTTTTTTTTCTAGTATAACAACTGCCTTTTTTTTTTTTTTTGGTGAAGCCAAAATATAACTTATTTGTGGTAATTTTGTTTCTTTAAACTTTCAGATATGCAACTTTACCGTGGATGTATCTTGTATCCAGATTCTTCTCAAGTTCAGACGTAGCTTTTATTTCTTACATCTCCTTAAATTTTGTGTTTGGCCTGTGTGCCATGCTGGTGACTCTCTTACCTCGTTTGTTAGCTATAATTTCCAAAGCGCAGGTCAGTATAAAACCTTTGCGTTATGTTACTCATAAGTGAGATGTATGCACACACATATGCATGTATATGTTCTTGTACATAGATGTATGTATGTTTATACATATGCACAGACAAGATTTTTTCCAGCAGAAAAACTTATGTGTTTTAAACATCCATGATTTTTCTGTCCTAGTGTATACTTTATTGCTTGCTACCGTCTTGAATTTTAACTTGTTTATAAAAAAAAAAAAATTGCGCTGTAATAACAGAAAAACAGCGTTAATTGAAACCTTGACATTTTCCAGACCATTAAGTTGTAATTGGCACATAATGGGAGCTGTTCTGGTCCATTGAATAGATTATATGCATTGTAAAATGTGTTTGTATAATACTGACATAAGAGTTAAGCTGCATATTCCTAAGATCTGTAATGCACTGTATGAATAGTAATATGCATTCTGACTCCATGTATGTAATTTTTATTAGTCATAGCGGTAATTAAGAAACTTGACAGAGAGGAGATCCAGAATGTGTATGAATATCTGTGCATGTACCAGGTCAAAAATTTCATGTTTGAAGTCAAATCTGGATTACGTCACTCAAGTTTAGAGGCAATTTTGGTGTTGACCTGGGTTTAAGTTGGTGATTTAGAATTAATAGCATTCAAATATTAAAATTTTAAGAAAATAGAATGATCGTGGCCACATGTGTTTTGTTACTGTCTGTGAACCTCAACTGAAATTAGAATCCCATGGCCCTAGGCACTCTAAAATACAGTAAGAGAGGAACCCTGCCCCAAAATAGTTCACAATATGCTCTTCTGAAATCAGTTCACCTTGAGTGAGATTTGAATGCTGTATCCAGCTTTGTAAGTGTGCTTAATATGCTGTTGGAGAAAACTAATTTTTTTCCTTCCCACCTCTCCCCTCCCCCAAATCTTAATACAGAGTTTTCAGAACATCTACAATATCCTCAAATGGGCGTTCATCATATTCCCACAATTCTGCTTAGGCCAGGGTTTAATAGAACTTTCATACAATCAGATCAAGTTTGACCTGACCAGCAACTTTGGAATAGATTCATATGTGAGCCCCTTTGAGATGAATTTCCTGGGCTGGATTTTTGTGGAAATGGCCCTGCAGGGAACGCTACTTCTTCTTTTACGCCTTTTTCTTCATTGGGATCTCCTCCAGAAACCAAGGTGTGTTACCATTTGTATTCTGCCATAGTGGACACTGAATTAATTTTTAAAGAAAGAAAATGGTGGATTCCTTTGAACACCTGAAGATAAATACTTCTGATAACATGGTGTACCTGAATTAGTGGAAACTGCAGAAAAAATACAAGTAGTTACTGTTTCCCTTGGATTCTGCTGAGATTTGATCACCAAGCTTTAAGGGATTGCAACGAGGGAAATAGACTTATCCGGAGTACAGCAATGTCCAATTTGCCATGTATCATTTGTTATCATCTTCTATTTTAGGGGTCAATGTTCAATTAACAGCATGGTCAGTCCTTCAGAAGATGTTGATGTAGAAATGGAGCGACAGCGACTCTTTGGTGGAAGAACTGGTAATGATGTCCTCCTTCTGTACAACCTCAGGAAGTGTTACGGAGGTTTCAGTAAGAAGAACACAGCTGTGGAAAGCATAAGCTTGGGAATACCGAGGGGAGAGGTAAAGAGGTCTTTTTTTTCCTTGCAGAAAATAACACTTCATTCTGAGCAATTGTTCAGACATACTCAGGATGTCTACAATCAAAGATCTGTAGATAGCAGCAGAACAATTTAAATTGCAGTAATTTCTGAAAATCAATAACTGGATAAAAGCAGAAGATCTGGTGGTGTTTAAGAAGCAACTGTTCACTTATTTTTTGGGTTACAAATTTATCAGAGTCTTAATTTTTTCTTCTTGCTTATCTTTACTAAGTGACTGTTTTATAGGTTAACATAAAAAACAAGTAGGTAGCATAGCAGTTCAATGTCCGAAGAGAAAGCAAAGAATACCTAGCTCAATTGTAAACTGTGGACTGAATCCTGAATTTGTCACCAGGGCAAGCTTGTAGTTCCCATGCTGAAATCATCACAGTATACTTTAATATAGCATATAATACACTAATATACTATTTTAATAAGCTGAAATTTAGCACTGAATATGGTAATCCTAAAGATTTCAGAACAGCATTTATGTGGGATTTTTTTTCATTATTTTGATGCTTTTGGGAATTGCAGATATTAATTTCAAAAATACTGATAAAGAAAAGACTTTTCTTGGTTGCTAATAGCAAATTGGAAAATATGAGAAATCAGTGCATGGCAGCGCAGGTCCAGTGACGTCCTGCCAGTTATAGATCAGTTGTTGGGTAGCTGGGGTAACCCAGAGGATATTACTGCTGATTAAAGCCTATTTATCAGTAAGAAGGTTCATGAAACAAGTATTTTAAAAGTTATGAAGTGCTATAAGTAGACTTAATATGAATCCTGCCCTAGCTTAAGCATATATTCATTGCAGCTAGGGGCTTGAAATAACTGTTCAGAGTCAGTGTCTGTCTTGGCTGTTCAGTGTTCATTTACCTGTACAGAGTGAAGCAGCTCATGAGAAACTGAGAAATACTGACTCTGTAGACTGGTAGTCAGGGTTCTCAAATAGGATTTCAGGTCCTCAGGTTCAAATCTAGCATTTGCTAATAATATGGATAAATAATGCATTTAGTTACTAGTCAGGGTTTTAAGTGGAGGGCTAGAATCCTAAATAAGTCACTTTTAGGAATTAGGGGGTAATCAAAATATTATATAAATTGTTTTTTTTGAAAACTTATTTTCTGTGGGAAAGGGAATTTGCACATACAGTATATCCATATACAGTATCTTACAGACATATGATGGGAAATATGAAAAAGGGAGAAACTGTTGAAGAATTAATATTACTTATTTCTTTCAGCATAGCAGATCTATTGCTTTTGCTCCTTTTTTTTTTTTGATCTCTGTTAGTGTTTTGGACTCCTGGGAACAAATGGAGCTGGGAAAAGCACAACGTTTAAGATGCTGACTGGAGATATCATCCCATCTGCGGGGCGTGCTGTTATCAGGACTCCTACAGGGTAAATAACACAGGGTTTGATCAGAATAGTGCTAATTGATAATGCCAATGATCAAAGACTCAGCAGGTCTTCAGTCCTTTATACTGTACTCTAAGGACCTGTTTTGTTCCCTTTTAAGTGTATATTGCTTTATTGCTGTTAAGTCACTGCAGGAAAGCATTTTAGCATTATTTAACTCTGTCTGACAGCTCTGTTAATTGAGAATAAACTTCTCTGGTAGCAAAAGAGTAGGCTCTAGGAAGCCTTAACATACAGCCTTTCAAAATTGTTACAAAAATCTTAACATACAGTATGTCCAGATGCATGGAAATATATCCCCCATACTAGTGCTGCACTGAAAGGTTTCCAGGCTTAGGCTGATGAGCAGTGCTTCAAGTGGATAATTTTAAAATGTTTCCTGACACTTGTGTCCTTCAGAGTCATTAATTAATTAATTACTTGATCAATATGCTATGTAATTAGGATAGGAGGTAGTGTTGGTGATATTGAGGCTAAATTTCATAGAGTGATAAGTGAATAATGGACTTTTTGGGTTAGATGTAACCAACATTTACCATTTTTCCCAGCAAAATTGGAGGGGAAGTAAAGTTATGTTTTAGTCAGGCCAAAGTAAAATGTGTATGTGTACATATAAATGTATTCTGGGCTAGTTAACAATTTTAAAACTTCTCTTTTCCTAAATGATGTCTATTTCAAAATATGTGTTTTGGAGAAGGAAAGGTGAAGGGTTTAATTCAGAAAATTTTTAAAGGAAGCATTTTGGAATTTCCAAAATAACAAGTTTCAGTTCTTTGTTTTAGAAATTAAATGCTTTCACAGGTCAGTATTTGCTCACTTCTTTACAAAGATAATGATCAGCAGATTTAACTTCAAAATATAAGTAGATTCAGTCATGGCAAAATTCAGTTTTCTGGAAAGTTTACTCTTCTTTTGAAATGGACACCATCACCGCTACCAAACATGATTTTACTTAAGTGTGTTTTGTTTGATTTTTTCATTATCTTTCATAACAACTTTTTTTCCAAGAGATCCAATGTAAAAATAATTTGCTAACAAAGAACTCCTAAAATGACCATCAAATAATTTTTAATCATGAAGAAGGAATGACTAAAGAGATGTTGGAAAAATGATTCTAAAGAGAATAAGAAGTGACATGAGTGAGGCTCTACAATGGTTATAGAGACTTTTAGATGGTTCTTTTCATTTATAATTTCCCAGAACAGAAGACAAAAATTTTCAGACATTAAGCAACAACAACCATAATAATAACAAAAGTGATTTAAAATTAGGTAAAAATTAACATTTGGTGTTCTTTGGAACTGGTGGAATGCTTTGTACTGGGATATCATGGAGGTCAGAAGTTTAGCATGAGTCTGAAGAGGATTTGAGATTTACAGAAATAAAATAATCTGTAATAATTTTTGATAAAATATTGCCCTCAAGGCAGTATTTAAGTTCCCAGGTTTTGTTTAGATTTTGAGGGGTATTTTTCTATAGATTTTAATGGGACTTGCCTTTCGTCCCACCTGTGCATTCATGGATTGCACATGGCTTTCCCTGCACAACATGGTACCAGATCTATATTTGGGCAAATTATTTGATCTCTTGTGACAATTCCAAAATTTTAATAACCACTTGAAAGCAAATATAAAGTTATATGAATATGTTTCATCATCACCTGTATTGGCACTTACACTATGTTTAGCGACTACATGACTTATTTTATCAGAACCCCTAGAGATAACTTTTCAAAAGATCATAAAACAGTTTAACAATGTCTGTATTCCTTTTACTAGACATGTTATGCACCTGTGGCTAAACAGATAAAAATTCTTCTGAGGTCAACTTTAGTATGCTACTGGCCTTTAACAATAGGTTAAACGCTCTCCCTGCACATCATGTGTGCTACTTTCATTTCCCCCACTGTGTTTTATAAATCCAACATGAAAGCATACTTTAAGATGCAATGTTATTTACCATATACTAAAATATAGGTAATGAAATTTGACACATTTAGGAGGTTTGAGAGGAAGCCTTAGACATTTGCATTTAAGTGTCCAAAATACCATTGACAACATTAATTATCATCCTGTATTATAGTGGTGTCAATCCAGGTTATGGATTTTTATGTATTTGAAGTGGCTGAAGTGAGTGCAAAACCCATATTCCCAAGTTTTCAAAACTTATCACTAACTTGAGAAGACAACCTCAAGCAAAAACTGCAGTTACACAGTAGCTAAACTTGGGGAAACAAACAAGTTCACGGCTGGGAGAAGAGACTTATGTCATTCCTGACTTTGTTCCTTGCTTCATGCTTTGGCAACTGTTATTAACCAGGTCATGGTGCACTGTGTTGCTGTACTGCTGAAAATCACTAGGGGGCAAATTCGTTGACTCTTCCATGGGTAAGATTATAACCACAACAGGTCTGGAGAACCCTTCCTCAACAGTTGAAGAATGACTGAAGTTACTCATCCAAAGCAGAATAACTTTTTCTGAATAGAATTGATTTATGATTTTAAGACAAAAAAAGAGATGAAGGTTGTGGTCTATGAACCAGTTAAGTTGATATTTTCTGTAGGCTAGTGGGAAGATACAAAGATGATTGTGATAAAATTTTGTGTTACGCTAAATTGATTCAGATCCAGGTATAGCCATTTCCTTTCTGAGCAGCAATCATGTTTATCCCCAGGAGAAGAACTGGGGCAACTGTCAAGTTCCCAAACAGTGAAATAAAAAAATTAAAATTTAAAAATATTTTTTGTAACAATTAGTTTATTTGTGAGAGTCCAGAACACCTTCCAGTTCCAGGTGTCTCTAAGCTGTCTTTGTTAGTTACAACTTCAGTGAACAGGTATTAAAAGCTAAATGAGTGTGTCTGAGTCCCAGATCTTTAGCTACCACCTTTAAGTCAGTATTTAGAGGCAAAACCAACAAGGAACTTCAAAGTGATGGAAATGTTTCTGTTCTTTTCGTTTGCTATGCTATGCAATATGCTCTGTAAGGAGTATGTACACTCCACATCAGAAAGACAATTGCAGATTTCAGAAATCTTTCCTCCCTTAATGTAGATTTATTTGCTGCTGATAAATTAGTGTGTACGTCTTGAAACAAAACAAACCCCCACAAACAACAATAAAAAAACCCCCACCCCTGTATATAATACATGGAGAACATAACTCTATCTGTGAGTATCAAGCACCCAGGGACTTTTAGGTGGATTGATTTTTATTTACACCTGAGATAAATGGAGGAAGGGGGATATCATGGTAAGAAGTCTTCTCCTTTTCTTACTCCAGTAGTGTGCTCAAAAGCCTGGTATTCCTGGCACAGAGGAAGACAGGAGAGTCAGCTGAAGAAAGCAGTTGCTGGTCACAGCTGCAAACCATTTGCTGGTCAGCAGATCTAGATTTTTTTGTTTAAAATCTATGTCATGAAGCAACTTCCACAGAGACATTACCTCTGATAGTGATTCCTGATGAATAATTTGGGCAGCAGCTTAGATGTAGATCCCATCTCTGTTGGGTTTGACTGGAAAGAACACAAATTTTGTCCTCTGTGACCCTGAAGGGACAAGATACTATAATCTGATGGATCCTTCATTATGCATTCTTCATGAGCAAATAATGAAATGAGTAGGCAAAATTATTATTATAAATATTGGAGAACCTAACTGGTGTAACTCCATGCAGAAAATCCTTATTTCATAACAGTTCCTGTTTCCTTGAATAACTATGCTTGAAAGTTCCTGGTTTAAAAAAAAACACACAACAAAACAAAACCCCCCAAACAAAAGCATATGTACATTTTCTTGATTGCTATTGTAATCATTTCACTGAATTCAAAATGAAGTCAGAAGTGTCTCTTTGAGGCAGGTGCACTGAAAACAGCCTTGAATTTTACAGGACAGCTTTTGCACTTTTGGACAACACAGGGGACTAGAAATGGAAGATGAGCTTTTTCCAAAGTGCATGTTGAATTGCAAAGTAGAATTTTGGGAAGTTCAACCTAAAACATCTTGGAGGTGCAGGAGGTTATATAGAAAGAGCCTCACACATTGATAATCAAGTTGTATTCACGGAACTCCTGCTAGATTCTCAAAGAAAATAAGAAAAATGTACTTCTGAGCAGCAGCTACCTTTTTAATAGGGCAGAAGAGCAGATTCACAACATCTTCAAGTACTTCTAAAAGATTTGTTGGCCTCTAGGTTGTTTGTTTTTTGAATGTTTAATACTGCAAAAAAGGAGCTTATTCCTAAGAACCTGAGAGAAAATGGTGTCTGTTTTCATAACAAAAGCTTAGGAAAATGCATAACAGCTAGATGTTATGTAACAGTTTTCAATATCACTGAGATTCATAAGACCTGGTGTTATTAAGCAAGAATTGTTATGTAACAGTTTTCAATATCACTGAGATTCATAAGACCTGGTGTTATTAAGCAGGAATGTTTATTAAATAGTAGAACCAACTTCATCTCTTCTGCAAATCAGGTTTCCTGGCATTCGTCTTGATGGGGGCATTCTTTTGGGGAAGGGAAGGCTTCTGATCTGTTTCTATTAAGCTTTTCTCTTTTTGGTACACTACAAATTAAATAGGTATTTTAAATGCACTATGTGCCTAAACTTTGTATCTTACCATTTACATGGCAAATGCACATTTATAGTATACAAGCTGAGCAGTCTGCCAAAACCCTGCTTTTTTTTATTTTTATATCCTTCTGCAGAAAATGTTTTTAGGCAGCTCCTAACCTTTGCAATCCCATTCTCATTGATAAAGATGTGATAAAGATGTCTGATGTAATAAAGATAGTCTAGTAAGAGAAATAATAGGAATTTATCACCAACCACAGCCAATCTTGTGAAGATAATAGCAAAATGCCATTCACAGGGGATTTTGCCTTTTTTATTATTTTGTGTACCTCATTAACATTGCCATTATCAGTGACATATCTGTCCAAATGAAATATAAAAATAATTATCATATAGAGAGTGTGTCTCCA